CTTCTAGCGGCTGCAATCGTCAATTCTTTCAACTGGAACACTGCTTCTTTTTTCTCTGATTGCACGACTTCGGTACAAGTTCCGGAGGCCAAGGATTTGATTTGCCATCCTGAACATACAGGATTGATTTCTTTGATCTTGTCTTCAGTCTTCATTCTTACAGGATTGAGCACATTCCAATGATTAAAAGCTCTGTGGCTCATAATCTTGCTAAGAAAGCCTTCTCGAGTAGATCTTCCCCTAGCTCTACTTTTCTTTGCAGCAAAGGTTCCAGATGTAGTTCCAAAAGGGCTTTCGAAGCCATCTCCTTCCTAACGGGGAAACTTATGTCTGTACACTCCTTAGATTGCTAATAATAAAGTGTTAAGCCCTCTTTGAGGGCTGGAGTTTGCCCCCAAAAAAACTAGTAACTTTTACTACACATAGCCACAATTCTTCTTTTATATGAATGCGCTTTGTTGGGAAAAAAACCATTTTCTAACAAAACAATCTTTCTATATTAAAATAAAAGCAAGTCATCGACACTATAAGTGTAAACATCTGCTGACAAATTGGATGGCGGCCGAGAGTTACCCTAACAAACTATTGGTATTGGCTGAGGGGCATGGCATGCGTTTGGATAACTCCTAAAATTTTAGATCTCACACACTGATTTTTTTTATTTATTTTTTGGTTTTATTGATAGCAGAAGACTACGCCAGCTAGTGGAGCATGAAAACGCTTGCTTTTTTTAGTCCAAAGTTGTTCGGATGGGTCCCGGTTCATCCCACCAACCGGGACCAAAAGGTCCAGATGAACCGGGACCAATGGCCCACGTGGCCCGGCCGACCCCCTGGGCTCACGAACCGGGACCAATGCCCACATTGGTCCCGGTTCTGGACTGAACCGGGACTAACGGGCTGACCCGGCCTGGACCAAAGCCCTGTTTTCTACTAGTGCAAGATGAATTCCAACTGTGGATTAGAGCCAAGATAGGTGGACTAGCGAGAGATGTAACGTAGCAAAGCTATAGATTGGTCCTGTGGACTGCGCTCTTTGTGCTGTGTAATCATCTTGTAAATGTTCTATCTTCTCTCTTAAATGAAAAAGCGCGCAATGCTCTTGCGTGTGCTTGAAAAAAAAAGAGAAGAAACTACACTGGAAGTCTTCTTCATGATTAGTACTAAAACATCCAGAAGAAGCCAATTACTTACGTGCTAAGCCTGCTTTGAGGGCTGAGTTTACACTCCTTAGATTGCTAACAATAACTCCCAAAATTTCAGATCTGACTCACTGATTTTTGATTTATTTTTTGTTTTATTAATAGCAGAAGCACTAGCTAGTGGAGCACAAAAACACTCCTTTAATTGCCCTTTTGATTTTCCGCCAACGCATGTCGGCATATTTAAAACCGGGGTACCCCGAGCGTAACTACGGATGGACCAGCCCAAAAAGCCATGTCGGTAAGGTTTTTTATTCCAGAAACGGAAAAAAATCAGACATCACCAAAATATGTAAAAATAATATCGGAAATTTGGAACTTATTTCGGATTTTGAGTTTCAAAATTCAAAAATTACTAATGATTTTTAACCTAATTTAAAATTTTAGTTTGAATTTGGCTCGAAATTTCAGGTTTGCAAGTATTCTGGACTAAACTGAAATACGCAAAATTTCGTTGAAATTTTGAACCCTCGGTACAAAAAGAAACTACACTGGAATTCCTCTTCACAATTAGTACTACAACATCCAGAAGAAGCTAGTGGAGAGTGAAAACGCTTGCTTTTTCAGTTGCCCATGCTGATTTTGCGCCCAACAAGTGTAATTCACGCGGCCACGGCATCCTTCTATTGTGAATTCGCCCATGTTTTGGTATGACGGGCGCACACACAATCCAGAAGGGCCCATAAATGCCCACATCACCTATGTCGCCCCATCGGACCATAGGGAACGTCACCATGTCGTAGTCACCGCCCTAGACGACGACCTCCGCCCGGTGCCGCTCCTCCAAGAAGAAGAGCATGGCACACTCTGACAATGCGGCCCGCCTCCATCTTGAAGATTGGCCCTTGCAGCCGCATTGGGAGCATGACGGTACGAGAAAGGCCAAGTCCGGGAAGAAACCCTTGGCCTTTGCTTTCTTGAATGAACACAATCATAAATAAATTTATTAAAAACAGAAACAAGGCAACGAGACTAATGGCAGCCCGAAGTTACCTTACCAAAATTTGGGCTTTACCGATGGACGGGGCATGCATTTGGATAACTCCCAAAATTTTGGATCCGAGCCAATTTTTTGTTGCCTCTCCCAATTTTGCGCACAGGGTGAAAGATTCGTGTGGCCGCGAGATCCTTTGTCAACAAATTGGTGTCCCCCACGTTTTGGCATGGTGAGTGCACGCACAATCCAAAGACGCAATAAAATCCCGAAACCCCCTATGACACCCCATCAGTTGTATGAATCACCACCATGCAGAACCCTTTGTCGTCGGCCACCGGCTCCAGACAAAGACCGCCACGCGGTGCTGCTCCTCCGGGAAGACCACCCGCCACACTTTGACAGCCGGAGGGGGAAGCGGTGGCCGACAAAGCATTTTTCACGTGGCGGCGTCATAGGGTTGTGAAAAAACCCATGGCATTTGGACGTCGTTTGGCTTGGTGATTCTTCCCGACGGACGAACGGCACCAAGTAGCAAGTAGGGTGTGTGCATCGCCTCGCCGGGTCGAGATTTCACAGGCCGTGTGATGCCGGAGATGGGAACGAGACGAGCACCAGCAGTTCACAGCACTCATTGCAGGGTCAGGTTTGAAACAGAAAGCTAGTACGTAAAATGCTTTGCAGGCCCAGTCCTTTACGTACGTGCAGCACAGCACTAGCCACCGATCCCATGGGGAAGGTGAGGGGTACTACTTTGAGTGGTCAGTTCCCGGAGCAGTACTACTAGCACGCAGCTTTACCCACTCCGAGTAGACTGCTGTCTGTGTGGCGTGTGAGACAAGGGAAAAGATTGATCCAATCTTTTTAATTTATACTTCCTCCGTTCGGAATTACTTGTCTCGAAAATGAATTTATTTAGAACTAAAATACATTTAGATACATCCATTTCTGCGACAAGTAATTCTAAACGGATGGAGTAGTACGTATGTATGAGCCAGATTGTTCTTTTGTACTGTACTCCATTACCATCAGCTTCTTCTCTAACTACTTCCATACATCTACCTAGTGCTATATTTTTCTGCCATGTGTTCTAGAAATTGAAATGTGTGTCTCGATAATAATAAGAAGAAAAATGAACTTCTAACTCGACCTTTTAAAAAAGGATAGCTACTCATAGCCTTTTCCCAAAAGGAATAATCATTCTTTTCTAAAAAAACAGATTTTAGGCCTCATTTAGTATGAAGGATTTTCATAGAAAAAACATAGGAGCAAGGATTCCGTAGCAGAATTTTCTAGAGATACATCCTGTTAATTTGTAGGGTACATGTACATGAATTTCATAGAAATACTATTCATTTCTCATGTTTTCAGAGGAGAGGAAACGACGTGTCCACTCAAAGCTCTTCTTTTTGCGTAGAAACAAGGCAAGAATTTTTTTTAGGATCCTACCAAATTTCTGTACTGCTCTTAATTCCTACGTTTTGATTTCCTCCAAGTTGAATGAGTCCTTAAAGGCTTAAACCAAAGGATATTAGATCGAGTAGTCAAATTCCCCACCCTATAAAAAGACTAGTCAAATTTGTAGGAGAAAATCCTGCATTTAACATCTTTTCTAACAGCGTGAAACATTTCCCTTTTTTCTCAAATATCTCTGAGTTGTTCACTTGATCTTGTCAAGTTAAAGAAAAAGAAGTTGTTCACGCTCACTAACTATTATCTCTTTCCATTTTCGTTACATGCAGGTGGCATGTCTACAATTTTCTCTTCATAGTTAGAGCACCTTAAATTAACACAACTGCATCCGGACATCTCATACTAGATTCTCAAATCCATTTTCCTACCATGTGTTCTAGAAATTGAAATGTCCGCATCGTCCGGTGCTTGCACGGCTACATCGTCGTCTCCTCCTCGTCCTCCGACGTCGACCCACCTCTACGGACACCTACAACATCTTTTCTAACAGCGCAAACCATTTTCCCCTTGTTTTTCAAATATCTCGGTTGTTCACTTAACAAGAACAAGTTAAAGAAAATGAAGTTCTTCACGCTCACTAACTATTGCCTGCTCTCTTTCCGTTTTCGTTACATGCAGCTGGCATGTCTACAATTTACTCTTCAAAGTTAGCATCAAGTCTTGTGTGTGCTTGTTTTTTTCTCCTTCTGAGCAACCTGGACTTTGTAGTTCTAAAAGGACTTTCAAGGCATGCTCCAAAAGTTAGCGTTCACGATTCAAATAAATCCTGGTGTGTTATATCTTTGTTTCTGAACCAACCATATCAACAACACCCCTGTCCTGTCCTGAATATCATCAGTTATACAGTTTTAGTGTTCTGAACTAGTATTTGAAAAATATGAGACGATTTCAGACAATATGTCTCCGCAATATTATTATGCTTACAGTTGCTCACAAATTATAAGAGTATATGCTCCGGCTCGGAACTTCGAGCAAGTACCCTCGCCAAAAAGAAATTACTTCCAGTAAGTAGCACTAACCGACGTTGTTCAACATTCACAGTTGTAAATTCCCCTGTGAACACAACTAAATATAGTTCCAGCCTCCAAATAAAAAACAGAGTTTTTCACAAATTTCACACTGCAGTTGCTCACAATTTTCAACCTATTGCTGGTTGGTTACATGATTAGTGCACACTTGCATCTCAGCTTGCAGCCTGATGTTGTTTCTCAACTCCCAAGGAACAGCTTTCTTCAAGTACTACTGATGTTGTTCAGCCTTCACAGTACATGGGGCAACGTGAGCTCCGGCCACACTACAAATGCAACAATGGTGGTTCAGTAAACATGCATGAGACAATCTAGAGAAACAACAGTTCGAAAGTTTCACGGGGATCATATTCAGTCAACTACCTTAGTTCAGAGAGTCAGTAGACGGGGTCATAGCAGATTCTGCATTGTCAGGAGAGGCAATTAATTCTTCTAGCTTGCGGAACCTCTTATGATCGGCTGCCGGTTCTTCCACGGGCCCCTTGCGACGTTCATGCTTCAGTTGAAACCTAGGACTTGTCCTAGGAATGCCAGTATGGTAGTCCTTCCTAGCATGTTTCACCTTCCCCCTCACCAGCTCTGCATCAGCACCATCAGAGGTCAGAGCCTCAGCTGGCAGCTCTTCCACGGACCCGTTACGACATTCGCGCTTTGTTTCAAACCTAGGACTTGTCCGAGGAGTGCCGGTATGGTAGTTCTTCCTGGAATGTTTCACTTCCCCTCTCACCAGCTCGGCGTCACCACCTTCAGAGGTCAGAACCTTGGCTGGCAGCTCTCCAACAGACCCGTTATGACATTCACGCTTCGGTTCAAACATAGGACTTGTCCTAGGAGTGTCAGCAGGGTAGTTCTTCCTAGGATGTTTCAGCTTCCCTCTCACCAGCTCTGCGTAGCCAACTTCAGAGGTCAGTGCCTCTGCTGGCAGCTCTTCCACAGGCCCGTTATGATATTCATGCTTTGGTTCAAACCTAGGACTTGTCCGAG